ACACTTTGTTTCCCTTTCACATCAGTACTGAGACAGAAAAAGTAGTAACAGTAGCATTCTGCCTGCAAACAAAACACTTTGTATCTCCATGTTCCAAGAATGTCAAGGCCTGACCACAGGCAGGGGACGCTCAATTTTTGCCTTTCCCAGACAAATATAAAAAGCTATATTAAACACCAGCAACTGTTCAATTCACAAGAGCATAACAGCATAATTCAGACTGCACCCATATCGTCCGTGCAATCACAGCATAATTCAGACTGCACCCATATCTGTGCACTGTTTTGGAGCTACGCTTGGGTACAGCCAGAACCATCCCACTCATTCTCACATCTGTTTTGAAATAATCGGCAGTCAGCGAGCGTTCGCTGGTGAGGCCAACACCCTCTGCAAGTTTCCACAGTCAAATGTCACAGGCTGCCTCTGCTCATGCCAGACTGCATCGATGGAGGTTCTCCAAACTCCTGGCCCAGCTCCTCTGCAGAAATCTGCCCAGACAATGGTCTCATTGTGGTGAAGAATGGCATTTTATTGATTGATGATAATCCTCATCATTTTTTCCTCTGTATGAGCATAAACTCGTCGGAGTTCAATAACAGTGTTGAGTGATGTTTGCAGGTTTAGGGGATTCAATATCATTTACCACATGACGTAATGGGTTCTTTTGATTTACGATGAAGCTCATGTGTAATTTAAAAGCTTGATATGTTCCAGCTCCTGCAGCAAGTGAGAGGCCTTACCTTTAATGAAGAAAAGTCCTTGAAAAAGGCTGCACAGTCTCTGACTGGAGTAACCGACAGCAAAGAATCACACTTTGTTCACTATAAATCTGGGAAATTGACAAGTGAATTCCTTTTGCAGCCTCATGTGCCCCCACTTGATCTCTTTTGGTGCAGTAAAATGTAGGCCTTCCGTCCTAAACAACAAAGTGCTCAAAGACCCTCTAATAATGGATTATAAAGTGCAAATCACTAAAGTCCCACTCATTGAGAAACCGCACGGGAAAGGTCAGTGGCAATGACTCATCAGTGTCACAGACCTCTGACGGCTGCGTGCAGTCATGAAGCTTGTGGGAAGGAGGGTGGTAGCCTATACAGATGGATGGATGGAACAAGCCTCCCTCACACACATGCTCACAAACAGCCACAGTCAAGTGCTTGACTCAAGGCTGTGCAATATTTTCTCTTCTGTTTCCTGGGCACTTTTTTTTATTTTATTTTGCCAATTTGAGTAATTTCTCAATTGGCAAAATAAAATAAAAAGGTTGTTTTACAGCAAAGATATGTGCTGTTTCTTTTTTACTTAATGTTTTACACATATTAGCACATTAAAAAAAAAAAAGTCCCTTAATCGTCCCACAATGGGAAAATTCAGAGCGGGTGTCTTTGCAACCCACATAGGCTGCCACCAGAGGCACAAGTAAGTATGTTGTTCCTCTGGGGCTTGAACCCAGGACCTTCTACATGTAAGGCATGTGTGTGAGGCAGGCGTGAAAACCGTTACATTAAGGGACACATACAGTCTGTTATTACAGATGGAGCAGGTGGCCTCAGTTTTCTTGATGTTATCCATTCAGTTTTAAAAACACCCCCCTAGAGCATATGGGTGGGCTTGCATTTTTTACCCTTATCCCATCAGTTAATTCTGTTTAAGTCACAGCAGACAGCAGCTGGATTCCCCAATCTTTCCTCCCATTGTGATTCCTCCTCACCTCCTACAACTTGTCTCCTTTTGCACTCCCTTCCGCTGAGGTCCCAGCTGCTTTTTACCCTTAGTAATACTCCACACTGTACAAACACACACTGTACAACACAAGGCTACACACATGTAAGCTGAAAAGAGTGCATACACGGTTGTTTGTTATAAGGCAGACTATAAACAGCCTAACCCACCGAAAAATGTAGTTGGAGTCATTTTCGTGGTATGTCTGGAGGTTAGAGAGAGCAGAGCAGCAACGTGTTGTAATTGCAAGGGCATCCACTGAGGAATCTGTTAGGACAGGTTCAGTGGGGGAAAGACTTGGCAACCCATCAAAGCTGCAACAGAGACAAAGCTCCCCCTCTCTTGCATGTGCTTGCTTAAAGGAGTGCACAAATTAAAAGAACATGTATACAAAAGTTTCCAAAGCCATGTTTTAGCAAGAATAACAGACAGCGCAAACTTTCATTTCAGTTCAACACCAGATGTGATGAACAACCTATCATCCTGTAACGACAGAAGGATGACGTCCTTCTCGTCGGGCCCATCCCATCCTCTTAACAAAATCAGCTGTCAGCCACATCCGCTGCCGACCTTCAATTAAAGTTCTACCTTTTACTTCCAGGCATGTTCTGCACATGCTCAAAGTTTCAGTCGTTCTCTTATCTATCCCCAGCTTCCTGTACACAAAACACACCCTCCACAGGTGCCCTGCAGGTCAGCCAGTCCACTCTGTCTTAGTTTCACTCGGCACCCCCTCCTGTCCAATGTCAATGTGACAGAAGGGAGAAGCCTGACATTGTCTGCTAGTGATATGGTACGGGGGGACATGGGGAGGGTTGTGTTTGAACTTGTCTGGCCTGAGCTCTGCCTGTCTGCCTGTCTGTTTTTCAATGAGTAATCCATTCAAAGAGTGAACACGCACACAAACACACACTGCACCAGGCTGTATGACATAGCTGAAGTAGAAGAGAGACGAGAAGTTTAGCCCAAGGGAGATCGATGGCTGATGGCTGAAGACACGCAGGCCACTGGTCAGGTCAAAGACTTTCTCTTTGTTTTATGGAAAATGTACCAAAAGCTTGTTGAAAGTGACTTAAGCTGTCAACAAAAAGAGAGGGTTCACTTTTCTTTGGTTACACACAGTAAAGTTTAGGAGATGGAGACACAAGTTGCCTCACAGTTGATCAATGGACTGTAATTTTCTACAGACCTTCATTACATTTCCTAGGAGGTAATTATTACTGCCCTTCCCGCCCTTTGATCATTGATTACCTTAGTGTTTCACCAATGCTGCCAATGAATGACGCTCAGAGATGTTTTTGTTCTGTGAAAGAATAATCCTCAAAAAAGATATGCAAATAATCACAATTTAATTTTCCCTAGGAAATACATAAAATAATAAGCCTAAAGTATCTAATCTTTTTCAAAAGAAATCTAATGGTGGCTTAGTGGTTAAGGAAGCGGACTTGGGTCCGTAGGGTTTCAGGTTCAAGTCCACTGAGGTGTTCTGAACATGGCACCTTCCTGACACCCTGGTGCTTAAAGCTGTTCACGTTGGTGATGGGTTAAAAGCAGAGGTCACAGTTGTTTTTGTGCAGTAGTAGTTCACTTTCCTTCCTAAGAATGTTGTTTAGCATTTTATTTTTAAAAGGTGTTTGTACAGCAGTAATCTGCACAAGTGATCCGTTTTTCAACAAATTTAGACGACATCCCCTTCTTCATATAACGTTCCCCACTGTGGTTGTTGGTTGAGACATAGGAATACAAACTCCAAGCTGCTGCAGCATCAGTGTCCTCTTTGAACAGACGAATACAAACAAATATTTTTGGACAAAACGTTGTAGCTATTCACATAAATTCTATGTTTATGGCAATCAATTACAGTAAATTACGTTTACCACAGTTGAGAAGTCGATATAGCAATTTGAGGGTTTGTCTGTGTGACAGTGAGGATATTTATCACCTGATTTATAAATCTAAGTCTTCTCATAACAGCAGTTCCCATCCTCCAAATATACAGTAGTTTACCCTCTTGTTTCTTAAATCAGGTCGATGTTTTAAAGTCAATTTGTTATATAAGAATTATTTTGACATATCTAAATTCTCATGAATTGTGTGAAAAGGTTATTATGTTAACACGCATAGTCGGTGGAAGCCAAAAAGAACATTATTATAAAGCCATTATACCACAGCCATTATTTCCCAAGGACAATAAGAACAGGTGTTCAAATACAGACTGAATTTAATGTGAGGTACAGCAGGAGTTCACCTCATTTTATCTGCTCTATCTGTCCTTTTAGCACTCACCACTTTCACAGTCAGACTGTGGGTTATTTTTTTCTCTCCCTGCAATAACAAGTCGAGGCAAGCTAAAAGGTCAAGTCTGTTAAAGGAGAACTCATTCTTTTCCCTTAGCTCCTCTTATACTGTATGTATGGCATCATATATTCTTTTTAAATTGACTTAATAAATCATACACTTATAGATGGCTATTCAAAGCAAACAGGAAAATTATCCCAGACTCAGCTATGCCATAATGTGTATCATTTGTAATTGAACTGTGTCTTAAGGCCTTGTTTAGAGTGCTCTGTAAGCAGTATAAACAGGATGCCTTTCAGAGAGACAAGTTCAGCACATGCAGGCTCAGGGATTCTTCCATGACAAGGCCAAGATATTATTTTGACAAAGTACTTGTTCTATACTAACAGTACCTCCCAGGGAAGAGTTGTGGTTTTAATACACACCTCTGCATTTTCCGGTGCTTGCCTGGATTTTTTTTTCCATTGCACAACATTAAGTGTGAAAAACAAATAATAAGGTGAGAGTGGTGCCAGTAAATCATATGGTGACCCAGCAGATACAAAAAAAGAGTGTGGGGAAAGGGCCAGGTTAGGAGCAGCCAGACTGTCTATAATGTACAGGAAAAGGTCAGAGGGCACTAGAGCTTAGAATGTGTATGTATGTACAATGTACAGAATAGCTACCCAAGGTACACTAAGCTATGTACACATAACTTAGTCTGCGTTAAGGTATTCCATAATATATTACTATTTAATAATAATAATAATTATCATTGTATTATTGAAATTTAGAATAATATAAAAATTAATATACTATACCCCCTTTTATACCCCCTTTCAGTACTCTTCTACTGTAATGTACTATAATATACTTTACTATTTCTACTACTTTGTTTTATTTACTTTACTGTATATAACCAATAATACTATGTTATACAATAATTACTAACACTATTGCTATAATATTCTATATTGTACTATATTATAATACACTACAATATACTGTACTGTAACTGTTAGAAAATGCACTCAAAAATGTATTTTCTCAAGGTTTCTGGGTCACTTGCCACATCTGGCCAAAAAATGTCAATCTCATTCTTTTTCTTCCACGTGTCCTTGAATGAACAGACCCAGTGAACAGGTTGCCAGGAAACTATCCAACTGCTCAGTCTGATTTTAATTCTCTCTGGACTTATTTTCATTCTCGAAGTGTGGGAGAGGACACAGCTTTGTGTGAATCTAACAACTGTCTGTGAACTTGTAAGAACATCGGCCATAGAAGACAAATCTCTCGGTAAATCACCAGGTTTCTATTCAGCGTGGCAAGATATCACGTGAGAGCAATCTGCATTATATAAACATTTATAATTTAGCCATCTAAGACGAAGTGGAAAGAAGAGTCACCAAAGAATTGATCATGGAAAAACAATAATAATAATGTTACACTAACACCTACTGGTCAGTGACTGTATTGGCTCTGTTTTTTAAAACCAGGAAATGTGTTTTTTTCTTTTTTGTTCAACTTTTACTTTCAAAATCTGATTTATTCACCAAATAATTTTTATTTAAATTTATTTAAGTAAGAAAACGTTTCAAAAACATATTTAAACTTTATTTTCCGTTTCCACCTTTTCAGTATCGAAACCCCTGCCCACGTTGGATGTACGTGACTCTTACGTCATTCAAAGTTTCACACTTGTGTTGCCTTTCCTGCTGCTCGTAAATGTGAGGACCAAAATAAGCCAAAACAATATGGAACACAAAATAATGCATCGTAGGATAACAGTAATGTCGATTTTAAAGTGTGCAACTACCTTATAATATTAATATAATAATTTTATTTTTTGAAGCGACGTTAACTGAGTTGTCCCTGTTACTAACGTGTAATTATCAGCGAAGTACGTGAAGGCAGCAAAAGTTCACTCCAGAGTTTGGACACCCATAATCATGGAGGAACAACAGTGCAGTTCGGAGCAAAATTTTAACCCAGGTACCGCAATAAATATCTTTACTTAGCGTCTGCGATAAAACAAAGCTAAAAAAAGCACAATGTCCCTTTAAAGACCTAACCGTATCTTTGCTGGAAAGAAGCACGACGAGACAGCTGTTAAGCAACTCAACACCGAGTTTAGTTTAATAAATTACCAGGCGAAGTTGTATCGATTTTTATTTAAAAATACAGTTTTAGCAAACAATTAAAAGAACAACTGTTTGAAATTGCTGTATCTGGTAGAGTTAATCGACACGATAAGTTTGAACATGTAACCTCTGTCTGTGCAGCTAATTTCTACCCTATTCCAAAGCTAGTACGTAAACTACAATAAATAATCGAAATATTTATTTTTCCATGCCTCTTAAATCTAAAATAAATAGGCGATGTCTATTGATTAAAACCTCACTGTTATCGATGCAATAATTTGGGAATTCCGTCACCAATCTTTGTTGCCCAAACTATTTAACAACCAACAAAGACGTCGTGTACATATTTCAGATGCCACTGTTGTTTTGGAATGTGGGTAACTTATTTTCAATCAAAGCTTTCATATCCCCGTGTTAAACATTAAACCTTTATCACACGTAGACCCAGGGGGAACAGGAACAACACGAGACAGCCAATGTGAGCAGTGTCCAGAGAAGATGATCGGCAGACAGCTGACTGAACAGGGCCGCTTTGCTTATTCTGCTCTGTGTGGAGTCTCACTGGGGCAGTTATTTACAGGACCCGAGAACAGGTAACAAGGCTACAATGAAAGTCTCCACGTCCCCTTAGGTCTGTCCTGAGCTGTGGTAGCACAGTAGTTATTGTTGTTTTGTTTTAACCAAACTATATGCATGAAAAACACAATAACAGAACTTGCCTGCAGTACTTTTGCAGTACTATCCCCAGTGAAGCTCTTGCTGCTTCCATAATTACTTCTCATCTGTTCTGCAGCCTGTTCCACATAAAGACTACTTTATCCAGTCCATTTGGGCTGATAGTTATATATATACTATTTTTGCACTAATTTTGTAAATAAAATTGAGTGCTTAATATACTTGGACTGCAACAGAAGGAACCAGGTAATGTATGCAGCACAAGGCTTGATTAACTAAGGCAAATAAAAACTAACAAGATTACAAGGTATGTAAACAAACCAACAGTTTAGATTGTTGTGGGTCCCAAGTGCTGTGTTTGATGGGACAATATATTTACTTTTCCCTGACCATTTTTCTCTCAAGTAGCCACTCAGATGAAAATGAAATTACACAATTAAGCACAATAATGGAACGTTGCATATACGCATGCTGCTCTTGTAGATCAGCAACCACATTATTGCTGATTATTCTGATCTATTGAGATGTTAATTTAAATCATTAACTTTTCAGCTGAAATCTAATAGCTACGTGATGTTTGCATGAACTGCTACCTAGGAATGTGCTTTTTTACAGAGTTTTCAGGGAAGAGTTCCTGCAGGGACTGGTCAGCTGGCTGAACCTGGATGATTCTGTGATGCCAGTTATGGCAGCGTTCCTGTCAGGCCTAGGCTTTGAGGGGTCAGACACTTTCCGCTCTATCCTACAGGCTGAACCTCTGCTGGCTGCAGGGCCGACTCCTATCATGCAGGTGTTTGTCGGGTGTTTGTCTGGTGTTTGAGGAGATGATGAAATATAGTGACAGCGATTCATTTTAGGAAGTATTATGTCTGTTTTAACATAAACATATTGAAACTAGGAAATGTTTTTTGTTACAGGATTTGGTGTCGTTTTCTGTCAAAGATGGTAGGACATTTTAAATCCAATCATGACATTGATATATGTTTTTATGGTCTATTTCATGTGCGGGCCGTCAGTTTATAACTTTTATGATCTATTGTAACCTCAGGCCTCTACGATGCCCGATCCAGAGTCCTCATCCGTCATGTCAGCTGTCTTCTACGCGTCCCTCCTCAGCAGCTGGAGGAGTTTGAGGAAACACTGGGTGAAAGTCTCAAAGAAGCAGGAGAGGAGAGCGAGTAGGTTGATGACAGGAGATGTAATTTAGTAGCATCTATAACCACTTTTAGGCTCTGCTTTTGTCTGGGGAAGATGAAAGCTGACAGAGCTGCACTATTGTCATTGAGAGACTTGAGTTCTAGATTTCCTTTTAAAGGCTACAGCAGTCATTTTAGTCCTTTTTTTAGTCCAATAAATATTACATTTGTCTCTTCTGTCCTTAGAGAGGAATCTACTCGGAGACAGAAGAGGGAACGAGTAAGGAAATTACGACGATACCTCCTCATTGGACTAGCCACTGTCGGCGGAGGAACCGTGATTGGTAATTACTTTTGCTACAGCTTATGGACACAATATTAATAATATATTAATAATAATATCAACACATAATATCATGTACAAGTCTTTATCTGTTAAACAACAGGCCTGGCCTTTTGTTTTTGTATTTATTTATTGGTTTTACACACCTCACTGACATTACGGTTGTCACAGGTGTGACAGGTGGTCTTGCAGCCCCTCTGGTGGCAGCAGGTGCTGGTGCCGTGCTGGGGGCCGGTGGAGCTGCTGCTTTGGGTTCAGCCACAGGAATTGCAATCATGGCTTCTCTGTTTGGAGCAGCAGGAGCTGGATTAACTGGTAAGAGCTTACCACCTTTTAAAATACACAGAGTGTTTCATTTATTCACTTTCTTTATTGTTTTACTCATTGTTACTTAAGGCTACAAGATGAAAAAATGTGTTGGAGCCATAGAGGAATTTGAATTTCTGCCACTAAACTCTGGAAAGCATCTTCACCTGACCATAACAGTGACTGGTTGGCTGTGCAGTGGTAAATACAGTAAGTACAGCCTTTTTATATCTAATTACACCATTAGTACAAGCCAGTTTAAACCTACTGTGAATTCATTAATAAAACAACCTGACACAAGAGTGTCATCTCTGCCTTGACAGTTTAGGCTCTTTCAATACAGTTGTATATGTAATTATGCTCCACTCCATCAGGAGTGGAGTGGAAGTGCCGGGGCCACTCAGCTGCATAATTAGCTACAAAAAGGATAGGATGTGTAAGTGGAAGGAAGCAGTTTATTAGGCATGAAATAAAAACATATATTTTTGTAGTAGAACTATTTGTCAGTGCTAAGGGTTTTATATTACTATTACCTCTATTACTTGTTTATATATTTGTAAACTGAGTGTGTGTGTTATATTTTTACACTGATGTTTACACTGATGGACAGAGACGACTGTAATTTTATTTTATTTAATATCTGCCGTGTTTGACAATAATTTTTAAATTGACCCTGTCTAAAAATAGTTGAATACGGTGGCATTAAACTTTGCTAAAGACACATGTTATAACAAAATCTGAAAAGACTAAATTGCTGCACACAATGTTCCAGACAAGTAGGTTACACAAACAAACCACTTAGGTTAGGTGTTCTTACATAAATCACAGCAGCTCTCTTTCACCACACAACCACACACTCAGCTTCACTCACTTGGGTTTCTCTCCACATACAAGTGCTGCTTGTCCATTTAGGTCACATTACGAATTATAAAGCACAACTGCTGTGTTCTAGGTTCGTTCCAGGCCCCGTGGTCCAGCCTGGGTGAGTGTGGGGAGCAGTACTGTCTGGTGTGGGAGTCGCGATTCCTCAAGGACCTGGGCTCTGCTCTGGCCTCTCTGCTGGATGGACTGGTCAGCATCGTGGCTCAGGAAGCTCTCAAATACACAGTACTCTCAGGTGGGATGAGGAACAGGCTGAAAACCACTTGAATTTAGATACACGTGTGTTTAAAAAATATCATCCAGGTCTGGCCTTTAGAAGTCACTGTCCTTTTTTCTTGCGTTATTTCTCTATTACTACATCCGTGAAATGACACTGGCGTATCATACAGGCATTGTGACGGCCCTGACATGGCCTGCGTCACTGCTGGCTGCTGCCAGTGTCATTGACCATCCCTGGTGTGTTTGTCTGAACCGATCAGCTGAGGTGGGGAAACATCTGGCTCAGGTTCTTCGAAGTAGACAGCAGGTATGCTTAAAATTTATACTAGAACAACTAGATTTTGGTCAGCAAAAAAATCTGTTGTAATATTCTTGGATCTTCTGCTCCGTCTGAATCTGCAGGGGAAACGTCCCGTCAGCCTCATAGGTTTCAGTCTTGGGGCAAGAGTCATCTACTACTGTCTGCAAGAGCTGGCCAAAGACCAAGGTAAGAAAGTTTACTGCAGTGATCAATGCCTATATAAACAATAAACTAGCTTAAAAGTAATGTTGGACAAAAATGTTATTTTGAAGTTTATTTTATTTGAGTTTCTTTTGTCTTGTTTTTTCAGGCTGTGAAGGAGTAGTGGAGGACGTGGTCCTCCTGGGGGCCCCAGTGGACGGTTCTGAGAAATCCTGGGAGCGTATGACCAGAGTGGTGGCTGGGAAAATAGTGAATGGATACTGCAGGTAAAACTCTAAATCAGAGGGTTACTTTGGTTAATCTTGAACATCTGTAATCTGACACATTGTCTTTTTAAACCTGTTTTCAGGGCCGACCTGAAAGTTGGGAACATTTTTATTTTCCCATAAAAATGTGTCATGGGGAATTTTCTAATGATTTTAAATTTATTTTTGTTTTAACTTTTTGCTCCTTCCTGAACTACAGTATTCTGTTATCTTTCCTCTTTATAAACAATATATGTGTATGATGTCAGTGTAACTACATAACAACCTTGTTAGATTTATGGTTATCTTAACCTAGTGCTGACACTTTTTTTTTCTATTTTTTCAACCCTATTTTAAATGTTACAAATTGCAACATTTCTTCAATTTGGACCACCCAAAAAATCCCCACAAAGATGAAAACATTTCTTTTTTCTGTCTTTTCTTAGCAGAAAAATCAATATTTTAGAAATGAATCTGAATGTTGTTACTTTTACAATTTCATAAAATACGTACCATAAGCGATGGGTGAATGAAATAGTATCAGCTAGTAGCTGCTAATGTTTGATTTGTTTTTTGTATTGAATTTACGTACTAGCAGGAAAACAGTTTCACCTGCTGAAGATTTGGAGATAGTTGGATGAAGAAACAAAATTCTGATTCTAAGATTGTTACAAACTTTGTGAACTAATTCACCTTACAGAGGGGACTGGCTCCTGGGGTTCTTGTACCGAAGTTCAGCAGCACAGCTCTCAGTTGCCGGGCTACAACCAATCAACATCCAAGATCGGCGCATAATCAATGTGGATCTTTCCTCTGTGGTGAGTCAGAGCTTATATTTAGATTAGCGCCACTAAAGCTTTTCTTAATGACCACATTTTCAGATAAATGCTGCTAGGCTCTTCTAACTCATCTGACAAGAAAAACAGGCTCCAGTGACCTCAACCCTGTTTTTTTCATGTCCTGTGTTCACTGAGTTGTTTACTGAAGGTAAAAAAAAGGTAAAGAAGCTCTCTGATTAAAAGGGAAAATGACACAGTTTTTCTTTAAAACCTGGGCAAAAACAATCATGTTTCATCAAGTCATGTTTCTTTAGCTTTTTTGAAATATTTCAATAAATAAAAGGGTAAAATTGAGGTACTTTGAGTACTTTGATTAAATACATGTATCTGTATGGCACAAGTGCTTCAATAATTATATGGATAATAATTTAGGCCTAAAGATTTCATCTAAAAAATAGAAGGGCATCCATATGTTGAACATTTCATTTTTATTTCAGTTGCTTGTCATCTACCAGCACTCCCTTTGTGATATAATGGTAGATTGTGGTCTAGTCATTGGGAAGCCTGTTTTAAGATATCTTCATGTTATTCCATCAATTTATTCACTTTTTCTTAATAATCTAAGAATTATGACTCACTGAAGAAAATCAGTGGAACATAAAGACTGCAATTGTAAAGGAGGGGTGTCCACACTTTTTTTGGATTTTTTTTCAAATGACCAGGCTAAATGATCTGCTTACATTGATAATATTAAATATATATTTATACTGGATATATTTTATATATTACTTGATATCTCAAGGTACTTTGATCATGGGTGGAGATGGTTCTAATTTGAATAGCTCATGATCCACCAGTACTACCTTTTTGATCTACTGGTAAATCGCGACCCGTAGTAAAGGATAAATGTTTGTAGCGAATGAAAGAAGAATGTGGCCGACATTCTTACTATATGTGTGGTATTTTAATAGTCTTTTAAAGAGTTGAGAGAAAAATGTAAAACCATAAAACAATACCAAAGGCCTCTGCTGGTCATTAGCACTTAACATCAATGTCACCTTTAAAACCAACATGTTTCTGTACAAAAAAGTAACACATATTTATCACAGTAGTTATTGTTGTTGTTGGCAAAGTAAAACTCCATAGAATTAACATTTATAGTGTTTAAAAAGAACACATTTGACAATACATACTGTAGGCACCATACTAAACACATATGGAGAAGAGTAAACAGTAATATACATGAAGAGGCCCCGTAATAGTTAGGGCAGAAATATGAAAGCTGAGACTTCTCCAGAAGTACAAGCCTTTTGCGGAGCCTCAAAGCCCTTTGTTTGTTCCCAAGGTGAAAGGACACTTGGACTACATGCGTCAGATGGACACCATCTTGGTGGCAGTAGGAGTTCCAACTAAAGAAACACCTGGAGCTTTGATCACGCTGCCAGAGAATGAAAATGTTGAACAGGACTCAGGACCTCAACGAGACTGTAGTGAGAACCAGGTGATTGAGCCAGAAAACACTGTTGAGATGGCAGAGACCAAAGAGAAGGAGAAGGTGTGGGAGAACGAGGAGGTGGGTGATGGTTGGGACATTCCTGACATCTCCTACCTGCTGGGTTCTTCCAGTGACACAGAAACAGAGAATCAAACCACAGACCATTTACCTCCTACTGTGGAGGATAACGACAGTAATAAAGACTGTGGAGGTCAGAGTGCCGCAGCAGATGAAGGAGAGCCCCTGGACAATGAGCACGTCTCATGGAGCTGGGATGATACACACTGGACCACAGAGCAGAAATGAAGACAACGGGACATGGGAAGAGCATGTTGCAGGACCAGCGGCTAACTCCTTATTTCCTACTTCTTCCCACTGCATGCAACTTTGTTGGAGACAACATTCATTCCATTCACAACACGGTGATGAGCCAGCACCAGAGACAGTGGACGAATATGGCAGCTCTGAGTGAAAGGCCCTGGAGTGGACTGCTTTGTTGATCTTAAATAGTTAGTAATTGTCAGTTGAAAATCTAAATATTTATTTGCTAAACTCAAGGTGAACTTACATTTCTGTAAATACCACAAGTGTTGGTATTACTTCAGGTATTACAGTACTTCTGTTTCTCTCTATCACTTTACTCTGTTACTTTATGTGTCAGTATTTATTTAGAGAATGTATTTGGTCCATGGTCCAAACTTAAACCCACAGTAATGTGAAAAGGGGCTTACTCAAAAAAACCGTCTTACAGAAAACAACATTAAAAGTCACTCCGTGAGTGTGGGCAGAAGTAACATAGGCAAGAACACACAGATCTGCCAGTTACAAACCGCAGACTTTTAGATTGTGCTTTGATTTGGACTTCACACAATACATCTGTTATTTTACAAGGACTGTTAACCAAAAACAGTGGCAACTCATCAGGAACTAGCTCATGTTGCACAGCACTTGTAACAACACTTTAAAAAACATACATTTGCTATAACAGGTTCATGAAACAAAGGAAAACTAAGACCAAATTTTAAATAACTTTGCTTACATAGGTGATGTTCTGTTCATTTGAGATGTAGCCATTTGTAACCATGGAGAGAAAAAAAAGTTTTCTCTACATGTTTTTATTTTTGCAATACATTCAATAATTAAGTCATCATTAATCATGGATTTCCAAAAATAATAATTACCAATACTGTAGTATTACTGTTATAAATGCTAATTAGATTAGTCCAGGTTGCCAACCTGATTAGGAAGAAGTAGAGGCAACTCAATTGCTGCCTGCTCTGCATCCAGCAGGTTGACGGCATCAGTGGCAGTGGCTGGGGCGTGAGCGGGGTCAGATGGCAGTGGGGAAGGAGGATTGCTGGCAATGTTAGGTTCTCCTGAGTTGCGCAAAGAGAGGGAGAGCACCGGTGAGGGTCTCCTGGGCGACTGCGAGGAACAGCAGGGCAGGAGCCTGGCTAAAGCTCGCTTGAAGTCTCTCATAAAAAGTGGGTAGATGATGGGGTTCATTGTGCTGTTGCAGTAGCCCAACCATGTGATGGCGTCAAAGACTGCATGAGGGACACACTCACACACAGCCTAAACAAAAGTAGATTAAAAAAACAGGGATTTGGGTTATTTAGAGCAGACAACTAAATAAAATAATAACAGGGTTGTCCCTAAACCATTTTTGTACAAATAGATACAAGAGTGAGTATTTTCATTTGTTTACTTGATGGAACTGTAGTGATACTGATACTTCTTTAGGTTGGGCTTCAATAAATATGTAATGAATTTGAAGGCAGTGTGTTATAGGTGCCACAGCTTTGTCGTGTGTGTGTGTGCGAGAGAAAGAGAGTTAGAGAGAATTCTACCCAAACTACAGTGATGCGACCAAACTAAAAAAAAATACTAAATACTAACTTGCAATTTTTTTTCTTTTTTGTAATTAACAGGAGAGACTAATTTATTTAAAAAGAAACACGACGTTCTCTATTCTAAGATGTTCTTTAAAAAAACAAGGAAAAAAACAGGAATGTTAGCATTTTTAACATTTTTTTTACATTTCAATCTCCTTCCAGTCTGTCCCCCCAGGGTTGAACGGTGTAGCATCTGCCTCCATCCTGTCCCACATTCTACCTCCTCTGCTTTTGCACCATCCTCCGGTCGTTTTTTATGGTGCCATGAATCTTCTGTGAATTTATCTTCTCTTCCTCCTGCTTGAGTCCTCTATGTCATTATCATATCTTTTTTTTTTTATCAAGCATGTCCACTGTCTGCCCTCTACAACAGTTACAATATTTAAGATCATTTTTAAACTCTTAAACATTAGATGATATTTCTCTCACAAAAAATATAAAAAGTAAAAACAATTATAAAACAATGTACCGTAAATATCCCCGGCCCCGACTTGGTCTAGTCTTTAATTATGTTGACGTAAACAATATTAAATTACAGAAAATATGGCCAAGAAAAAAACATGCACAGTATTTGTGCGTCAAAGAACCAGGGTTTATGTTTTTCCCGCACCCTTGACTCATTTATGCTTTTCTGCTCTGCATCTATTTCCCTCATGGACGGATAAAAATATTTCTACTTATGACTCATAAAAAGCCTGTTCATGAAGCAGGTTTAGAGAGGGACAGTGGAGACGGAGGAGACATCTGCTGGAGGAGAGCTTCCAATACTTCTAAGATGAGTCAAGGAGACGGCGGGAATAGGACAGAAAGGAGGAGTGCGAATCACACACCACATTGAGTGTGAAAAGGGCGCACAGACTCGGTCAAGTGTGTGTGCTCTGCGTTATGCAGGGGAGAAGCGTAGAGGGCACAGATGGGAAATGAAAATGACTGGATTGTGGAGTGCTTGAATAAACAGGACAAGTGTCATTACCAATCTAGATTAAACCTTTTTCCTTTGTTCACCGAGTGTGAGCTCGAATGTGTGCACACCCAGAGGTTCAGATGAAACAACATAAAAAAAAACAGTGAATATATATATGTATATATATATATATATATTATTTTATTTATATTAGCTATGGAGTGAGTTCGCTGCATGGTGGAATATCTCACAGCGTAGCCTGGCAGGTCTGTGATGTGCCGACTGGCCAATATTGAATAGATCAGTGCCCAAGTGTTGCTTTGTTTTGTTCTACAAATTATTTTCCATTTACAACCGCTCCATGATCACCTCACACATTATTTTTTTAATAAAAAATGGAAAAGCTATTCTAAAAACAGTTTGTGGAGCATGAAATTGCTACAGCCAATAACAAATAATGACTCAGTCTGCTCCTTCTCATTTGTCCTATTTTTCATCTGAGACTTTTTCGGATGCTGCCCTCAGGTGATTCTTCAGCAGATCATATCTTAAGGCTCTTTAATATGTGCCTTATATTCTTCAACGTGATCTGTGAACATCGTGTTCACTAAATTATTCTGCTCGACTTTCAATCTATAACTGATCATTACAAGAGCACAGACCTGATGCCTGGTGTCCTCCATGCTGGACTAATCTGTCAGTCTGGCTGCACATCTTACGGCTGTCTCACTGTAAGACAAATCCTGCACCATCCTGACTGCCACTCCTGACAACCTTCCTTTCTTGGCACCTTATCATATGCTTTCTTTGGATCCACACAGACTTTCTGTGGTGCCCTTTGACCTTCTATGTACTTCTTAACCAGCACACTCAAAGGCTCTCGAACATTGGTAATGATCAATCTTGGCTTAAAACCAAACTGTCAGAGGATAGGAGAACATCTGCTTCAGATTAGCTTTACAGCTCTATAGGTACTGCAGCTACACACATCCTCCTTGTTCCTGATGTTCTGGACTATCAACAGCTGGTGCCATTTTGTATTTCATATCAAAAACAGTTGCATGTGATTGCATTTATACAGTATGTCTGTGTCATTATGTGTAACTAGAGTGGGTGTGGTAGAGGGCGGCGCCTCCTACTGACCTGAGCCATATTAGTGATGAAAAACGGCAGCCAAGCACTGAAGAAGAGTCCCAGGAGGACACCCAGTGTCAGACTGGCCTTCAGCGCTCGCCGACCTTGTCTGTGAGCCAGTCGTCGCTCACTGTTAACTGATGCCTAAGGACAGGGGAGAAACGATAGAATCATATTTGATTACATTACAAGGACTGCAGTTAGATTAGAAAACGATAAAAGCCACTGTACGACTAAGGCAGCAGTTTCTGTCTGTACCTTTTTCAAAGCTTCTCCTGTGATTCTTCCAATCATAACGATCATCATAAGTGAAAAAAAGTATTCTTTTTTTATTCTATTACAGCTCCATGACTTTCACTGTTGGTAACCCAACAATTGGTAACCCAACATTGCAAACTCCAACAATAGAAATCAATTAAATACAAATATACATTACATATACAAATTAGTTACAACATCAAAATATTTGGCCCAGATAATGTAGCTAAGGACCAGGAACAATAATAATAATAATAATAATAATAAACAAAATCAGCTAAATATTACAAGAAGTTGTTCCAAAATTAAAAATGGCCAAATACAATTTGTAAATTAAGGCAGTAGTTGAAGATAACAAAAACATAAATGCACTTCTATTTAGCCAATTGATAAATAAAAGTTAGCCACATCACAAACATTAACACATTATCCAAATGTAAATTTCAGGGAAAAAATTGCTAAAAGCTAAAATGATGTGTGGCTATCTTTTAAGAAATTGAAGGAAATCACAAATGAAATGCCAGTTAGGCAAATTGTGAGGGAGGTGGGTGGAGGGTGAGTGAGTATGAAAGGTCTTTTATTTTACACACTCATCTTAAAATGACTTTAAGGCAGACGACTTTCTACAGGCTGCAGTTCTTTCAACCGTTCCTCTTTCATGAATTTCATAAAGAACATCACTGTAAAATGTTCTTGTCGATAAAAGTATTACATCACATGACTTAGTACACTTTTGACATTGCATTTCTTTTTTAAAGGATCCTGGCATTGAAAACACCAGCAAACTATGTTTTAATTGATCGATGGACAAAAGTGTACATAAACACCCACCAGGACAGAATGTAGTTTGCACACAAAAATCTGCTTGGCCCAGGTGAGTCATAGAGTCTGTTTGGATTCTAGACATATGACTCACCAAACACACTTTTATACATTGTTGTTATACATAACAAGATATTTTTTATGATTGAATTTTTTTCTTATGTAAGTTGTTGAATCATTTGAGGTGTATAATTGGGTCATGAAGCTGAATGACGTGTGAGGAGATAATAAAATACAAGGAACATAATTCTTAAACTGGAGCTTTATAATAATAATAAAAGAGCTTCATTAACAAAACCAGATCCACAGTAAATTTTATCTGGGTTCCTACTCCTTGTTTTTTGAAATATGTTTGTACTACTGAAAGCTGCTTGTACAATTTAATTAGAATAGACAAATGAGATTGTAATTCCCTATAACATCCTGAAAAGTCCACCCATCTATCCATTTTCATCTGCTTGTCCGTTACCAGGTCGTGGGGGCAGCAGTCTCCATGACCGCCACCCAAATTACACTGCACCATAACTGCCCCTTGTGAACCTTCCTGCGGTGGTGAGTCCACTGGAAGGCAGCAACAGCGATTCGATCTTGCCCAGTAGGTAAACCCTGGGGTTCCACACCAATGACACAGACATTGCCTCTGGGCCAAAGCACCACTATAAAAAGTCTAACATCTCAATTATTTGTTTAAGATCTTCTTCAATGACCCACTGTGGCAATTTGCCTATCAAATGCCTATCCTATTTAGTAGAAAATAGACGATAAAGAGCAGAGCAGGTCTACCATAGCTCTCGGTACTAGTCTGTACACTACACAACACCAAGACAAGGCAGGTACAGTACATAACCAGGTTAATCCCTATATGAGAAATGTAACCATCTTTTTTTCTAGCCATATTATTCCAGTCCCAAGACTGTCATGCTATCATGCGATCATATATACATATATATATATATATATATATATATATATATATATACTATATGTCATTATGTGGATTATTCAGTCAGAAGCCAAAGTTGTAATGACGTAAGTATAATCAGACAATCCAGTACTTCTTAATCACAGGTGAGGTGGCAGCATCAAAAACCTAGCCTGCTGCTTAACCACATTTAATCCCCATTTTTTTACCTGGACATTTTGTGACACACTTGGTTCCTGGTACCTGCAGTCATCTACATCCCTGTGTGCTGCAACCCCCGGAGAAGGAGGCTGTGACGGTTCCCCAAGAGAGGGGTGAGGGTGTGGTGGGTGACTCAGGGCTGCAACCCTCTTTGCCTGCCTCCGTGCTGCCAGAAGGATGCGGCAGTAGGTGAAACAAATGGCGCTGGAGGGCAAGAAAAAAGTGAGCACAGAAGCCACGAGAGCAAAAGGCAAGGTGACTCGCAGGCGACACTGGAATGAGTGGCCCCCTGTTGGTGACAGCTGAAAGTAGGATGTGGGATACAGTGTGTGAGACATGGAGCTAGCGTTGTTACTGATGGTGCTTGGAGTCAATAAGTCTCCACTCCCCAGTCCCAGGCTGTGCCATTTCATCTCAATGGGCAGGAAGGAGGCCAGTGCTGCCAACCCCCAAGCAGCTCCTACAAGGAGTAACGCCCGTGGGGGTGTCATCCTTTGCTTGTAGCGTAAAGGTGAGATGATGAAGAGGTAGCGGTCCAGGCTGATCACACACAGGTTTAGGATAGACGCGCTGCAGCACATGACGTCAAAACACAGCCATATCGGACAGAAGGAGGGCCACAACACCCAGGCCCCACACAGGACATTGAGCATGGCTGGAGGCATGACAACCAGCGCCACCATCAGGTCAGAGAGGAACAGAGAAACCAAGAAGCAGTTTGAGGTGCAACGCAAAGTGCGATGAGCAAACACCAAAGTGATGAGCAGCATGTTTCCACAGACCGTCATAAGGATGATGACACTGAGCATGAAGGCCAACAGCCATGGTCCACTGCCAGTGATGTTCCAGGTGCTGGAGGTGCTGAAGCTGCTGTTGTAGCTTTCAAAAAATTCAGACAGATGAGGTTCAGCCATGGCTCCAGGTCTAGGAGATCAGGGAATGAAGATGCTCTGGTTCCTTTGGAGAAACAGATTTGTTTCTCGAACTAGACCCGTTCTTTTTTATAGACCCAGCTCTTAGCTGACAAGTGTTCTTGAACAAAAAGAAGATAAAGAGTCTTCGTTCCAAGAATAAAAATCTCCATCTCTTCTCAGCACGGCTCCACGTGTTCTGGGTTCAACTCCACAGTCACCAATATAGTGACAGAAATCAGGATCAGACTTTCACTCATATCTTTATCCTGGGCATCCTCTGCCTCTGCCTCATCCACAGCTACCAGCCAGAATGAGCCATTTGAGTGCTGACAGAGGGTCTGGAGGCAGCATGTCACAGTGATGACAGTCACTGGAGGAGGGCACACACACACACACACACACACAGATAAAACCTCCACTGTCTTTATACAGGAGCCGTGCCGACAACGAGAGGAACCATGGAGGATGAAGGACAAAACATTTCTCAGTATTCTTTGTCGCCTCTCAGAAGTGAGATTTCACAGACTGTTTCCTCTGTTGAGCTGCTGCTCCGCTGTTTTTCGCAACACCTTTATTTTTTTCCCCCTTAGAAACAGCCAGAGGGGAGCAAGGCAGCAGCAACTGACAGTAACAAAAGTGTGCAGCCAGTCATTTGTAAGCAGGGCTCCATTTATAAGTGCTCCCAGGTATCCACGTCCTTGTGATGCTGCTGCCTTTCCTGCCACTCGCTCCCGTTAATCCCTTTGTCGGCCACTCGACTCCGTACCTTACAGCCCCAGCGCACGCCTACTAGGAAGGAGCGTGTCAAAGCATTGAGCTCTTAATGCATAACCATGAACAATCACAGCCAAGAAATGCTTCTTCTGCATCACACAGACTAGCGTGGGTGGCACTTCACTGGGTTTGGAAGTGGTAATATTTTTTCCTGGTAAATTGAAACAAAATACTATTTGTTTTCCACAAGATGCCTTTGTGCACATTATTCAAAATTTTCAGCTACCATTACTTCATAATCCCTGTCAGTTCTCAATCATGCAAGTCATTTCACCCTCAGAGGTTCATCAGGTGGCAACTGGACTGGACTGGACTTGACCTTGGCTAAAGAAGCCTCTTGGATGAGAGGTGTTACAAGCAGAACAGACAACCCATCAGAACAGACAACCCAGGTTACTGACTTTGACTGGTAATATTCTTTTACATTTGTTTATATATATATTGTTCAAACAATATGATTGTGTTAAACGTGGTGATTTATGTGCATTAATTCTACGGGGTTCGAACTGAAGAAAAAAACATGCTTTTTATCTTATGGTATTTAAAGGCCCAACACTTCCCTGTTAATCAACATCGAAACATTAAAACCAACTTTTTTATGAATTAAAAAAAACCTCAGTCCTTGTTCAGGCATTATTTTTTAAAAACAAAAAAATAACTTCAACTTGCTCCTACTTCATCTCCAGGCTAAACAATGGGGAAGCGACAGTACTCAAACAGCACTTGAATATTAAACACAAACCATAATTGCAGAGAGAAGTCCAGTGCACTTCAGGGATCAAGTAGGCTTTTCAGTAATTAACATTCTGAGCAACAATCTCAATTTTTGTGCCCCTTCATGACTAATCATCATCACTACAACCCAGCCATCTGCCCTGTCAACTGCTGCCAGCCTTCTGACCCGCTTTCACCCACATTGAGCCCACCACCTTATGGAGCAGTAGCTATTTATATACAGTATATAACATATATACTGTATAAGCTCATATGCACCAGACATATACAAATATATATGTACCAAGATTTCAGCAGTGCAAAAACTGTAGTAATTCAAAGGAAAATAATTTTATCCTACTTTTTACCAAAATGTTGTTGTGTTCATAGCCTTTCCATGCCAGTGGAAAATAATTGACAGCACATCCTCAAATCATTGTAGTTATGATTGTTTTATTAAATAAACACAGACTGTCATGATGAGACACATACGAGGTGGAATAATGAACACGTAGAACAGTGCAAACTGTCAATTTACCAGAGACAAAACAAAACAAATTCCAAAAAGAACAAAACCCTGACAGTCCCTTGTTGACTTGCAGCCTTTACTCCTGTAAAAAAAAAGCATAACATTTAAAATATATACATACTTTATCAACATAGGAAGAAATTAAGATAGAATTATACTTAGTCATCAGTAGTCAGGGATTATTTCTGTATCTTACTTTTTCTCTTCTGTGCAGCAGGTAGTGTGACCTGAGGTCATTCTGACAGTTGGCATATGCCATGCCAAGTCCTGCTCCTGAGCCGAATGCAATTGGCCATGTGTGCCCTACAAATAAATCAAATATAACAAGTATATCTTCATGCTATTGTGTTTACATATACAAATGTCACTACTGAATTTAGCCACTACCAATTATTAGTTTTCAATTATTTTTGACTTACATGATATAAAACTGTAAAAACTAAATTTCTTCCCTCAGCTTCTATTTCTAGTCTGTAAGTGCCAAGTATAATTTTATGCCTTTGTTCATAGAGGAGACATAAGATATAATTAAGGTAAACAGTAATTAGACTTGCAGTTATTAGTGAACTTATCAGTTTTGCGCAACCTAATATAAAGTAAAACGAATCTCTGATTCATACATCATGAATGCAAATTTGTGCTGACCTTTTTTTTATTATCTTAAACACATATGGTCTTTAGGCAAAAAAAGTGTGACATCAACTGTTCACTTGTGTCACCAAGACAGATGTGAGTAACAAGTCAACAAAAGTATGGGTGACATTTATTAGCTACAAAATACTTACGTTTAAAGAAGATGACAGACAAGACGATTCCTAAACCCAGACCAGTACCTGAAAATTGGGACAAAAATACAAGTATAATGTATGCATCAAAATAAATGCATCCCCATTACTTTATATCAATCTAATTTCAACTTGTAATTCTTCCTGCAGGTTTTCATGACATATTGGAACAAAACAACAACAAAATTGGAAAACTCTAACTTAAACATTACAATTGTCTGGGTTAGGACAATTACTATTTGTAATGCACATCTTTAAAAGTGGTATAATACACTTGAGGGAAGCTGGTCTATGTAATATGACAATAAGGTTCAACAAATGTGTCCTATCAAAATAAACCAGAACTGATTTTAGTGACAAATGTAATTTCGCAAAATCGGTTTCTCGTCTACTGTAAGAAAATAGGTAGGAGTAAAAACCAAATGAAATGAAATAAATGTTTCCAAAAAAGTTGTTTTAAATCCTTATACTGTATACAAGGCAACATGGAAAATGATGGTAATGGAATGTCGTAAAATGTTTTAGTGTCGTAGTAAATTGGCAACATTTCCTTAAACGTTCATTTTTCACTGGCTTTTCGACGTCTATTTAACATCTATCAGTCTACAATTTTATAGCAACAGCAGCTTAATCTTTGACCATGGCTAAACCTGTCATCATTAAAATCCCATCGATATCAGACTTCTTATTTAGACGTCCTTGTCCAGCTAGCCTGTTAGCTTCTCGCTCATTCAATGACAGCTGTGTCTTATACTAAAAACCACTGTGTAGCTCCTGTATAATTCAGAAAAATTAAAATGGAATTATGTGATGTAGGCTTTGGGGATATTTACCGAGTTTAATGGCACCGTCAGCGAGGCACCGGTCCCACTTTTTACCCAGCTCTTTCTCAGACATGCTGAACATTAGCTTGTGTCCAGTTAGCCGCGTCAACTCTGCGGGACTGTGCTGCATTCGAGTGCTGTCGGAAATCATAATTCCAAGTTTCGTTTCGTAGATAATTGCGAACTAATATTAATTTACATGAATTTAAAGGATTTTTATAGGTGTATGGTTTCTTTTCTGTTTTCATTTCCCGTATACGACAAAACAGAATAAAATGTACGTTTTATTCACATTTGCACTAAAACGCAGTGTCAAACTGATCTACGCCTTCCAATGCTCCTTTATTAACCTAAAACCTAGTCATTTTCAGGGTCGCGGAGAGCAGAAGCCTATATGGACATAGACCAGGTCATCAGTCGATTTGTCGCAGGGCCACAAATAAAGATAAACAACAATTCACACTCAAAAGTATTATCAGGATAGTGTCCAATTAGCTTGGAATCACTGACGGTTACCTCGGGATGAATGTCGCCATCTTCTGGCAAAAATACAGTGCAGAACTAAGTGTACAAATACTGTACAAATCCTAAACATTCTTAGGCCTAAAGTGCTTTAGCCTCGTAGAATCACTTTTTCATTAATTTTGATGTATGACTTTCATACTGACAAGAGGTTTTCTTACCACCTTCACAAATTCCCTTTGGTGAATGACCATAAGCATCCTCATTGCATGATTCTCCAACTATGTTTCACTGTGGATAAGTTGTCCATCACTTTGTGGCTTTCCCTTCATAAGCCAAACCTAAACATCCAACCATACATCCATTATCTACTGCTTATTTCCTTGCATCTCCACTGGAGATAATGCCAACTTTCAATGGTTTTGTTTTATCTGAGCAGATTATCTTCTTACAGGTTTCTTGAAGTTTTTTGTCAGCAGGGAGACTTTTTCAATAGTGGTGATATAAATATAATTTCTCCACAGTTTTCTCCTTTGAATGATAGGTACGAACTCAAAGCACTTATTACAAACATATTTTAATATTGCTGAATTCAAATTTTACATGACACAAATCAGCACAATGTCATGAAGTCTCTACCACATGTTCACTCTTTTTCCTGAGATGACAATATGCAATCGTGAGAACATGAAGTTACATTTGTAAAGAGCAAGCAAATTTGAAAATATTACATCAAATAAAGATGCATTGTCTGGCACCCAAATCGTACCACTAGAAAAGTGAACTTTAAGTACTACATGTGGAAAAGCTTAATAATGGATCTATAAATAGGCTGATGAACAGATTGAACAATCACTAAGTCACAATGTGCTGTCAACTGTGTGAAAACAGCTAAAAGTCATCATGTGGCTAAAATAATCATCAAGCCTGGGTTTTCTTTCAGGTTGCAACAGGCTGGTTTCAAAATGTAGAATATATAATTTTACATCTATTTAATATGAACAGCAATGGAGCAACAAAGAGGTAGAAAATCTGTCCTCAACATGTTAATTTGTCTTTGGCAACATAACAATATAAATATTATTTGCATTTATTGCAGTGTGAGTGCATCTACAAATGAGCTCAGTACAAATGAAACAGCTACTACAGACACCTAACAGCACATCCACTGGTAAAATCTTAGTGAACTTTGCTACAAAACTAATGCTGCGTTTTGACTGCACCACATCTTCATCTCATTTAAAAACAAAAGTAAAATGTGGTGAATTCAGTTGAAGCGTAATATAGCATTATAAACCCTGTTTCCTGAAGATATACTGTTCACTCGCTGGAAGCTGGCTGAGGAGAGTTTTCTTGAGCTACTGCTGATGTCTGGTTGGTTTCTTCTGTTGATGCCTTCACCGAGCCTTTGCTGATGGCCAGAAGGTCTTGTAATTCTTTGTTCTCAATCTGAACATGAGAGAAGGATTTAGCAGGACGGAAAGTGCTTTGTCACAAGAACAAGTTTTTTTTTTTCAAACTAACCTCTAGTTGAGCCAGCCTTTCTCGAACAGAGCAGTAGTGCTGATCGTCCACCTGCACTGCTTTCCTCATCATCTGGCCCATCTCACAAATCCTCTCTACCTGGTTCTGCACTTCCTGCATAATCATAAAAAACAATCCCAGTGCAGTGTATAGTACATCAACCACTGTGTCATTCTTTGTTGTAACAGAACATAAAGAGGTCAGTGTACTTTTGCGTGATCCTCATGGAGAGTGAGCACAGGCTTGGTGTCCAGCTCCTTCTTCACCATGATCAGCTGAAGCATCTGCTTACGGTACCGACCCATGATTAACTCTAGTGTGTATTGATGCTCTTCAAGAGACAGCCATAGTTCTACAGAGACAGGGGTTAAAAGAGTTGACAACATCAACCAACAGAATACACAACGTCAGGGAATTGATCCTTTGTATAACCTTTATTCTCC